TTTGAATTGTTAAGAACTCAAAATCACTAAGATATATTGATTTGTTATGAAATAGATACACATGCTTTCGTGGATAGGAATTCTTTGACAGTTTTAATGCTTATGTGTCCCATTATCTCTTTTCTATAGAAATTGATCACGGCATTTGCCAGCTTTTCATGTGACATTGTAAATCTTAAGGAGAAGCGACATTCTCCAGGGGAAACTGACATTGGCTAACTGATTTTGTATACGAATATATACAAAAGAAATCAGAAGTGAACCATTGTTACAGGTATGCTGCGACACTCTAGTGGGCGTCAAAAACTGACTTGATTAAAAATCTATGTCTCCATAGTTGAGAGGGAACGACGCCCCGCCAGCCCTGTCCAGACCCACACTCTTTAGCTTCCCCTGCTGGAGAATTGTCATAGCGTAATGACTGTATTAGAACAAGACCCTTTACTGCCATCTGCTGGAAACGGTCACAATAAACACAAAAACTGATGGCGACAAATGCAGGATGCTTTTTGGAAGGGACCCTTTTGGGCAGTGCACAACTGGAGCGACCATGTGCGACAGTCCTGAACATAGTTATTAAAAACAAGCCAACTCAGGGCCGGCCGAGTGGCTCAGTTGGTTAAGAGCTCGCTCAAGAGTTTGAGCTCTGAGCAACAGCGGTTCGAGTCCAGCCCGAGCTGAGCAGCCCCTGAGCTGCCAACAGGTAGCAGGATGGCTCGGCTAAAAAAAAACCACAACAACAACAACAAAAAACAAGCCAACTCTTTCCTCTGGTCCCCAGCCAAAGAATGAGCCATCTGCTCCACTGAAGGGAAAACTGGCTATGCTAGACCTAACAGACTGTTCTAAACTAGAAGCAGAGGGCAAGGCAAGAGATTTCCTGGGGTGGTTTTGACTACACATAATTTTTCGCCTTACCCAGCCTTTATATAAAGGATGACCCTGTTTCTCTGGCATGTTTAGTCAGCATTAAATAGGATTGGAATGGACAACTCACAGAAAATAAAATTCAAATAACTAATAAACAAATGGGGAAAATGTTAAAATCACATGTGAACATATAAATACAAATGAAACAACACTGTCAATCAAGTTCAAAGTCCACCTTCCTGTCCTCACTTTTCTAGAACTCTCTACTAGGAAGATTGGAGGGAAGGGGAAGGGGAGAAAGGACTTTCTGTTTCCTGTCTGCCTGCTGTCGTGCTTATATAACCCTAGCAATCTCACCATGCAAAACTCCTCTTCAGATAATGTCTAAAGTCCCATCTTTTCCAAACTTTTCTGAGTTCCTAAATTACCAGGAGCAGCCAGCAGGACCCAGCTCTGAGAGAGGGTCCTCTGAGCACCCCTTACCTTTGTTTCCCAAGCCCGAAGGCCTATAGCTGCTCCCTGCAGTTCCTCTCTCCAGATAACCTCCGTGCTCCATTTCTGCCCTTTCAGCCCTCTACCGCCTATACAATTAAGTCCCTCTATGAAATACCTAACATATATGTTTTTCCTAATTTGTTCTTAGATTCTGATATTTAGGTTATTTCCTTTTCTTCTATTAAAAAACAATGCTGCAACAAACATCTGTGCCTGTCTCTCGGTTCATGTAGGTGAGAGCTTTCCTATAACATGGAGCCACAAGTAGGGTTGCTAGGTGACAGCTGTGAGCATCTTCATGTTTACGAGACAAAAATTCCTTTCTGAAATTCAGAAAAGCTTTTTCAGTCTGCCTGACTCCCCAGTGTCCACCTTCTAACTTACCAGCCGAACGCCTTGGGCATAAGCAGTGGAGAAAGCTGGGGAAATGCTTACCCAGGCTGCCTCCAGCTGCCTGCCTCAACACCCCCATGGTGACACTGGACAAATGCTGCCAGCAAGTTTAGCATCTCATCTGGGGTACACTTAAAATATATCTGAGTGCTTTGATCTTTTTACTCTGACAAATGTTGCAGCATTGGTGGCATTTTCTTACCTGCCCCGTCATGTGGACTGCGTGCTGTCCCATGTTCACCAGCCTTGTTCTTTCTGGGGAAGCCAGGCCATTGCCCTAGAAACATACCCCTGGACTGCATCTTCCCTCATGATGAAATATGAAGCAGGAGTCATTCAAGATTTTTTAACCTAGGTCTTTATTTTTCCTGTGCAAATATGAATGTAGGCATCGTTAACAATTAAGGCTTTTAAAATATATGCATTTTGAGAATACATTGCTAGTTACATTTTGCTGATGATATGAGCTTGGATCAGACCTTCCTTTAACAGACCTTTTAAGTTCATTTTAGAAAGTTAAAATAGTCTAATGATCCATTATAAACACCAGAAGAGACCCATAATACACACTTGAAAATGCAGCACCTTTCGTACAAACTACATTAGGGCTCCATTATGTAGTATATGGATTATAACATTAGACCACAGAGACTTCCCAGTGGCCAAAGCAAAATGGGACATTTTGTCTGAGAAGAAGAGAGAAGAAAGAGGAGGAAGAGAAGGGAAGGAAAAAAGGAAGGAAAGAGAGGGAGAGAGGTGAGGGAGGGAGGGAAAAGAGAGAGAGAGAGGGAGAGGGAGAGAAAGAGAGAGAGGGAAAGGGAGAGAAAGAGAGAGAGGGAAAGGGAGAGAGGATGAGAGGGAGAGAGAAGGGGAGAGAGAGAGAGGGAGGGAGAGAGGAAGAGAAGGAAAAGCTGCCCTATGGCTTGCCTGCATCAGGAGAATGACCTCCTTTGGGTAACTTACAATGCGTATTTAAGCAAAGGATGGACCATGATGGTTATAATTCTCAATCAGGGAACCCAAATATATAAATATATTATAAAATGTTCATGGAATTCTATTCAGTGGATTTTTTTTTAAGATTTTTTTTTAAATTGGGGAATTGGGGGATGGGAACAGTGCTGGGGAATTGGGGGAAGGGGAACAGACAACTTGCTGTCCCCTATGCTCTTCAGTCTAGTTGTGGAGGACGTTGCTTCACTGGCCCAAGTTGGCACCATCATTGCGCTCTTCCCGGGTGAGACAGATCAGTCGCCAGCTTCTGGACGGCCACTCACGGCAGCTATTGGCCGCTCACTACACACAGTAGCCCATGGCAACCCACTGCAGCAGGGGCTGCAGCCTACACCGTCGCCGGCAACTCACGGCAGCCCAGCTCCAGGTCAAGCCGCCATTCAGCATCTCAGCCATAGAGGGCAGTGTCACTGGCCCTCATATGTGGGATCCGAACCGGGGCCCTCTGGCATCCCAAGCCAGCTCCCAACCAACGCACCACTCAGCCGGCCCAAGTGGATTTTTTTAAAAAGCTAGATTCTGCACTCTGCATGCTTTTTGCTAGCTAAGAGCTTTGCCTCAGGATGTAATCCTGAGAAAAGGTGAGGCTTCCTCTCCTGGGGTGAAGGAAGGGGCAGTTTGCAAAGATATGGCCTAAGGTTTGCATGTTCTCAAAGTTCCAGGTGTCAGCTTCGTTTGGTTGAGGATCCCATTCCAACCTCCAACCTGAAAGGAGAGCCTCTCCCCTGAATGTGACTGTCCTCCTCCAGCCATGACAGGCTGGCCAGAACCATCACACAAGGATGAGAGAGGCTGTCTTTGAGTCCCTTTGGCAAGTTAGGAGAAGAGGTCCCCTTCCCTGACTGACGTGCTCTTTTCTATGAAACAGATTCCTGTGTCATAGAGGCTGGATGGCAGGGCATCTGGATTTGTGTAACAGGCTTGAAGTGCCCTCAAATGGGGCAACCTTGCTTCATCCTGTGCTTGTCACAGCACTGCCAAAGGCCCGTGGTTCTAGGGTGCCAAACAGCCCATGAGACGATACCAGTTTCAGAAATCTGCCCCAAACTGCCTGGTGTGAGGCTGATTTCAGTTTGTTACCACATTGTAGTTTTAGCTTCTGTGACATCTCCCTTAGCAGGTGGCAGAGGCAGGTGCAGGGATGGGAAGGGGACTAACTAACCTTTCTTTTACACCAAAAAGAAGGTCAAAAGTCTAAAACTTCCTTGTGGATAAGAAAAAAGAGTTCTGTGCCGATGCTTTCATACACTTGCACTGGGGACTTCTTGCACGTTACAAAGCCCTGTCCCATGCAGTTTCACATGGCCCTCGTCACAACCTGCACTTGACTGGGGCAAACATAATGAGACTCATTTTCTAGATGAGGAAATCAAGGCTCTCTCCCGAGGCCACCACAGCTTGCAAAGGGCCAGGAGAGCTGGACGACCTCCCCGCCAAGTCCCTTTTCATGTAGCTGCAGCCGCATAGTGTCACACTGACAGCTGGCTCCAGGAAGCAGGAAACAGACCTGTGTTTTTTCACTGTTGCTTGGGCTCTGGTTCTGGAGGGTCCCCATCAGGCAGAGGGCTGCCCCCACAGAGTTTCACCTGGTTTTCCAACTGGCTGAGGCGCTGCTTCACTCTCATCTGAGTGGCGTTGTACTCGGCCAGGAGCCGTGCAAACCTGGTCTGCAGGGTGTCCAGGGAGGACTCCAGGTGCTCCACCTTCTCCTCCAGGTCCTGGGGGTCTGGCCCGGCCTTGGCCAGGTCCTCGTCCATCAGGTTGTCCTTGATGAGGACCTGGCGGCCCTTCTCCTCCAGAGCCCTCTTGGCGTTGGGGTACTCGGTGAGCGACTCCATCAGGTCAGCTTTGGAAAGGCAGAACAGGTCCGAGTAACCAATGCTGCGGATGTTGGCGGTCCTGCGGTTCCCTGACTTGCTCCCCTTGATGTTTAAGATGCTGATCTCCCCAAAGTAACTCCCATCACTGAGGACCACGAACTGGGTGATCCCATCGTCGGCCACCACTGCCAGCTTGCCCTCCTTGATGATGTACATCTCCCTCCCAATGTCCCCCTTCTTGCAGATGTAGTCCCCAGGGCTGAACACCACAGGCCGCAGCTTCAGCACCAGCTCCACCAGCAGACCTGCCTCACAGTCCTGGAAGATACGGACCTTTTTCAGCGTGTCCAGGTGCACGTTGATGGCTATCTCCGCCTTCAGCTTGTCCGGGAGGCTCCTGAGCACCTCCTTCTCATCCACCGTCTTCCTGTTGGCCCACAGGTAGTCAAACCACCGGATAACTCGTGTCTCCAAGTCCTTGGTCACCTTGCGGTACTGCATGTACTGCTTGACGGAGTCAATCTTGGCTTGGAACTCAGCCCGGGAGGCATTCATGTTCGAGATCATGGAGCCCACGTTGCCCACGATGGTGGCAAAAATCAGGACACCCACCAGGAAGTCTATGACCACGAAAAGATATTCCCCATCTTTCACAGGGGGCGGGGTCTCACCGATGGTGGTCAGGGTCAAGGTGGACCAGTAGAGACTATAAATGTACTTCCTGGAGAGGCGCCCATACTCTGGGTTTGAGATGTTTGGGTAGACCCAGGAATCTGTCCCCAAACCGATGAACTTGGAAATGGCGAAGTAGATGCAGGCATTCCAGTGGATGATGACAAGGATGTAGAAGACCAAGTTCCCGATCCTGAACACGTTGGGATAGTTGGTCCTCGTCTCCGTACGGTCAAAGAATTCGAAGAGCCGGGTCAACTTCAGTAGGCGGTTGAACCTCAGTTCCGGGTAGTTTACACCCAGCTTAAAATATGCCAGGTCTGTGGGGAGCAGGGACAACACATCCAGCTTGAAGTGCAAGGTCTTCGTGTAATGCTGCCACAGCCTCTTGGCATCCCTGACCATCAGACCTTGCTCGAGGAAGCCTAAAGGAGAAGATGGAGGTCATTTGCACATCAAAGTGGCTGCCAGTTTTTGAGCATGGCCCAAAGAAAGGTGTTTCACAACATGACTACAGGAGACAAAGTTATACACACATAATATTGGGTTGTCGGAAAAGTCATGATGTATTTTTTTCTATGTTTTTCATTGCAAAAATGTGTCATGACTTCCGACAACCCAGATAGAAACCACTTCAGAAGCCACACTACAGGAAAGGAGCTCTGATATTTTCTAGTCTGTGATGTTCTCATCTATTTTATTCAATTAAAAAATATAGGTCAACTGGGTACATTTCAATGTGGATTGGATATTAGATGATAACAAGGAGTGAGCATTAAGTTTTAAAAGATAAATGGAAGTTATACTTTTAAAAATGGGTCCTTTAAAGTTAGAGATAGGTGCTGAAAAGGTTACTGTCTGAGTTTTGCTTTAAAATACTCCAGCCAATAAAAGGGGGCGTGGGGAGATACGAAATAAGATTAGCAAAATGCCGATAACTGTTGAAGCTGGGTGAGGGTACACGGAGACCCACAATACCATTTGCTTTGAATTTGCTTATGTTTGAAAATATTAAAAGCACAGGTCCTGGCCTATTCAATTGATTTCATCCATCACAATCGGCACAGCCTGCCTTTTAAGCAGATTGCCTAGAAAAGCAGTAGTTCTCCTTCCTGGCTGCACATTGATGTCACCCAAGGGGCTCTGAGAACATATGAAGCCTGAGACCCACCCACCCACAAATCAAACTGGTCTGGGTATTGAGAGTCATGAGGGATTGTTACTGGTGAAATCAATCTGGTGAGTAGTATGACTTGTATTCTTCTTTTTTTCTTTTCTTTTCTTTTTTTTTTAACATTTTCAAACAAGCGCAAAAGTAGAGAGAATAATATAACAAGTGCTTTTTAGGTTTGGGTAAGCATCAGAATCACCCTGAGGGCTCTGTGTAACACAGAGTGCTTGGCCGTCCCCAGAGTTAGGTCGGGAGCACTTCTAACAATGTCCAGGGCAATGCTCTGAGGCAGCCAGAGGCAGCACTGCCCACTCTGGGCAAAGCAGACATCAAGTTTGCTGTCACATGCTAGGAGCAACCTGCTGCCCAGCCCCCTCGGCCTTATTTCATTCTTTGTTACACTTGTGTTTATTGAGTGCCTAGATCACGATGTGCCACTCCTTGTGCCTTGGGACTCCTCGATCCTTCCTTAATCCATCTTCTCTCAATTCTGGCCAGTTTTTCCTTTGGAGTGTAATCCACAGCCACTTGGTTTCTGTTCCCATCTGCCCCCTTGTCTCCCGGCTTCCTGCTGAATCTTGGGTCTCCAAGGATAGTACCCAAGCACGAAGGGGTGGGGTCAATGTCTGAGTGAGGGTGACTCGTCCCACTGAAGCTTGGTTGAAGAAGCAGGAACAGTCAGCCCAATGAGTCGAGCCACTCACAGAGGTCTTGTGTCTCCATCGGCTTATGTGACCATGGAGTGGCTGAGCACCAGTACTGGCTAAGTCACATGTGCAAGCCTCAAGCTGTGCGTGTGAGGTCTTCTAAGTTGAGATGCTGGGCACTGATGTGGAAGCAGGTGGGGTGCCAGTCTGGCCCTGCTGGGTGGTGACTGTGGATTTTGGACCAGTCACTCAGCACTTCTGGGCCTTAGCTTCTAGAGTCGTGCCTGCACTTGTCTCTCACACAGCAGGTCTACTGAGGACGCAAGATGGGCTGAAATGCTTTGTGCCCCGCAAAGCCATACCAAGGTTTGTTGCTGCGAGCTGGTGGTATTTAGAGGGACAACAACGGCACGGCTTCTTGTGCAAGTGACAAGCAGGGCCTCTACTAGCTTATGTGATGTCTTTGTGCAAATTAGAAAAAGGTGCCCCAAGAATGCACAGCTGGGAGGCTAAGGCATGGGCGGGGTTTAGCCCCCACTTGCAACCAGAAGCAATCTGAAGGAAGGCCCTGTTTCAGATTTTAGACCTCCATATTTAAAGGTCCTTTAAAAGCCACAGAATAACAAGTCCTGGGTCCTCTGACTGTCCAAGAAGAGGAACTCCAAGAGTGACTGAGCTGTCACCTGCTTTCTGCAATGTTGGAGCTGGAAGGGTGCTTTGAGAGGATGGTTTGGCTTTCCTAGTATATCACAGGTGAAACGAACAAGGCTAAGAGACACAGTTCAGGTCACACAGATCGTTGGGATAGCAGAGACCAGGACCCAGGTGTCCTGACCCCTATTCAGGGTCCTGTCCAAGGAGTCATTGTAGAGGGAGCCTGAGGCAGCATCACCCCCCTGACTACTGAAGATTCCCCAGACCTGCCGGGCCTCTAATGGTCACAGGTGGGTACTGTCCACCCAACTGTTCTGGATCTCCCTGAACACAGCCTGTGGTCCCCCTCCTGATGTGGGGCCTGGGGCCTGGGGCCTGGCCCAGAGGAGTTCCGGGCCTGGGCACACTCACCTGTCCGGGCTCGCACCAGCACATCTAAGCCATAGAGGATGTCTGCAGAGTAGTCCAGCACTAGCCACAGTATCAGGTGTTCAGACTGCAGCTCATCAAAACAGGCCCTAAACCAGAGTGACAGGGAGCAGGGCGTTTCGAGCAGGGTCCCCAGCAGGCACCAGCTCAGAGCTCCACATAGCCCTGCCTGCAGGGCTTGTACCCCACTGTCATCACCTCAAGTCCTGACAAGGACACCCAGGCTCTGAGAAGCCTTTCTGTCCCAAGGTCACAGAGCTCCTAAGAAGAGCTGGGTATTGACCTCGAAGAGTGGACCCTGTTGCCTCTGAGCAGGAAGTTCTGAGACCCCAGGAGGGGCAGTTTCTCTAGGCCTCACTCGTGGAGTCAGGTGAAGAGGCTGAGGACATGCCCTTTCTGGTGTTAAATGCCAACAGAAATGTTAGAATTTCTGAGAAATTAACAACTGAACAAAGCAGTAAATATCTTCTACTTTCCAGATCTGTATGCTCACTATTTCTCATACAGACAATACCTTCAAATATCTCTCTTAGCCCCCAAAGAGCAGCAGCTTGCTCCTGTGTCCCCATTCTGCAGCTTTCTCAGGTCCCGTCTGAGAAAAGCAGCCGGTTTCTGCAGCCCTGGACCTCCTGACTCACACTCGGCAGAGCAGAGGGTCTTACTGCATCACTGCATCCGGTCTTGTGGCATGATCAGGTGGCTCCAACACCCCTCCCCCCACTCCTCCACCCTCCCACCCCCTGCCACCCAGGAAAGCAGGACATACTCCTGTAACCTTGCCTCACAATCTGACCCTGGAAAGCCCCAGGGCCCGTGCTGACCCCTGGAAAACGTCATACCTTGTAGGCTTGCTTAGGAATGCCCCACAGCCCCTGCCTCCTTCCTTCCATGCCGCCCTGTCTCCTTTCAGAAAAGAAAAGCAGCAGCTCACCTTGCAACCTTGTCCTGCAGGCCTGCTAGGAAGGATCACCAACCCCTTGCTTACTCTCAGAGAGGAGCAGCTCACCCCTTATCCTGTCCTGAAGTTTGCTTAGAAAATCCCACAGCCTCCTGTGTACCCCAGAAGAGGACCAGTTCTGTCCCCAAATGTCTGCTCAGGAACTTCCCAAAGCCCACTCGTCACTCTCAGAGATGCAGCCTCTTGTCCTTGCATCCTTGTCCTGTGCCTTGCTCAGAAATTCCCACTGGCCCCCACATGCCCCATTAGAGGAGAAACAACACAACCCAACGTCTCTCTCCTGCAGACTTTGTGCTTGCCCACAGAGAACAGCCGCTTGCCTGCATCCCCTTCCCAGCTTGCTCAGGAAGGCCCTGGTGGTGCTCTGCTAGAACCACCTTATGAATGGAGAAACTGAGGCACAAGAAATTGGACGGTGGCCACGAGGGGACCAGCAGCCCAGCCTCTTAAGTGAGACCCGAGCTCTGTCTTGGGGCCTGGCCACCCTCACGCCTTCCCTGCCCGTCCCCAGGTGGAGGCCTGCCCATGCCCCTACCTGCAGATCAGCAGACACCAGTTGTAGAAGATGGGCAGGGCAATGATGATCAGCCAGCGGTAGTACACATTGCTGGAAGGGTCCACCACAATGGTGTCCTCCTTTCTGGAAACACAAACAATGTAGTGTGTTGAAAGACCACAGCTTTGGAGAGTCTTACAGACCTGTCCTAACTTAGGGCATAACCTAGGGCAATGGTGAACTGAAGTTCAAGAGAGAGCTGTCCCAGACAGCATCCTCTCAGTCTCGAGGGCCACAGGGGTGTTCCTGCATGGGAAGACAGGCTGGCAGGCAGGGCAGACTCTAGAGGTGTTTCTCTCCCAGCTCAGATCTCCAGGGAGCGAAGGTTGACTATAAAATCACGGTGGCGACATTTCCATGTGCCCTATGGTGTCCTCCTTGACCTCAGGACTCTAGGAATGAAAATGCAGCATGGTGATATCTCCGAGGACTGCAGGGAGACTGTCAGAGCTATCTGGGGGAGATTTGTGGAATTGCGGGTCTCCAGGCCCACCCAGATCCCCTGCAAGGCTGGGGCCTGGCAATGTGCATTTACACATTGCCCAGTGGCTCTGAGGCAGCTTCTCTCCGCACTGACTTTGGGATCCCAGGGCATTCTCTTGGGAACACGCTCCATCTCGTTCACATCATTTGCACAGATCTTCCAAAGGCTTGTTTCCAAGCACATAGATCCTCCGCTCCATCAAAACCCCCAACCTGGGCATCACGTAGGTGATGCAGGCTGACACTGAATGGAGAAATGGCTTAGGGTGCTTTCCATTTTTATTTTCAGGATTTTCTGAGGATTAGAGTTTACAGGCAGTGCTGGAGATTCTTTTTCTTTTGGGTCCACATGCCTCTACCCCACCCCAAATGCCCCATGGGGCCTAGGTCTGCAGAGCTGCCCCTATGCCCCTGGCGAGACCCTGGGGCCTTCCTGCCCTCGCCTGGACTCAGCAAGTGCAAGACTATCTGCTTACTGAAGGTGCTTTGCACTGCTCCCAACACTTGTCACCACTGGGCCTGGATTACGGTTTGTGACTATAGAATTTTCTAGTGCTCAGGAGAAGGCTTCAGCTTACCTGGACTCGTGTGGGCAAACAGAATTCTGGAGAGCAGGGCACAGGAGCAGGTACACAGGGACAGCCCCTAATTGCTTTCCCAACACTGCAGACCACCCTCTCTACCTATGAGACCCCTGTGGGTCCCAGAGCTGGGCAGGACTCTCCCTGAAGAATGAGACCCCCATCTGGGACCAACTTCCTGAGTCCTCAGCAATCCCCTCTCCAGGATATGCTGAGCCCTAATGGCATCGTCTCAGACTCAGGTCCTGGACCCCTGGGCAGGTCAGGCCCCATGTGACCAGTGAACCCCTCTTGAGAGGCAGCTGCTCTCAGTACTTACTCCTGTCGCTTTACGCAGTTTTCCTTTCCCTCTTCTTCCTTTTTCTCTTTCTCCTCCTTCCTTGCCTTGTCACTGGATGACACAGGGTGACACTTAGCAGAGATCATATATCACAGACACTACCACGTGGAGAGGGTAGGCTGGAAGTGACATGGAGGAGAGGGTGTGGGGTAGGAAGTGGGTACTTCTAGCACACTAGGGTGAGATGCGGTTACTGATTTCATTATTCTATTGTTATTATTCCTGAAGTATGAGGTGAACTAGCCAGCGAAGCTTTCTGTGTACACTGAAGGGTGCACAGTGGTCCGGCCTCGTGCTGTGCAATTTCTGACCCATTTTCATGAGCCCCCTAGGAAGTCACAAGCTGCTGAAACTGGAGACATTTTGAGGCAATGGGAAATAAACCCAAATCCACACATTTAGGGTAGAAAAGTCACTGAGACTCTTGGAAGTCACCTGTAGAGCACTTTGAAGGAAAGGGTATGGCCTACCTGTTGTTCTCTAAACCTTGATCATGTGATGTCTGGGAGTAGAATAGCATCCCCCCCCCACCCTGCTTCTGTCAGCATCAGCAGGAAGATGCTATGAGTGTAGCCATCTCTTCAACACATGGCTTTACTCTGCTTCCTCTTCTTACTGGGTGTCTTCTAGGACCAGGTTATCCATGAATAGCTATAATTGTTCAGCAAAGCAGGCATTACCACCCATTGAAAAACCAAGATGGAAAGTAAGGGACCTGGCCTACCTGAGGACCCCACCACCAGAATCATCCACAGGCCCCTCAGAGTCCCTGTTCCACACCCTGGAAGAAGGCCTGGGATGACAAATAAACACTCATTGAAAAAGGTCAAAGCACTTCACATAGTAGTCCCTAAAAAAATAATCAGAGACATAAGCAAACATGCCTACAGAGTAATCTCTACCGTTATTTGTCGTCAATTGAATCCTGCAACAGTACAAGAGTCATCATCAACAGTGGGATTCTATGAGGCTGCTTGAAACGTCATGGAAGAATATTCAGTGACATGAGAAAATGGTCCTGATATTTAAATTACAAATCAGACCACACAAGAGTTTATAATAATAGTTGTATTTGTTTTCTGCTGCCAGAGCAAATTCCCACAAACTTAGTAGCTTTAAACAACCCGAAGTTATTATCTTGCTAGTCTGTAGGTCAGAAGTTGACTGTGAGACTCACTGGACTAAAATCAAAGTGTCACAGGGCTGTGACCCTTTCTGAAAACTCCAGGGGAAAATCTGTTTCCTGCTTATTTAGATTATTGGCAGAATCCAATTCCTCGCAATTACAGGACCAATATCCTCATGGTCTTGCTTGCTGTAAGCTGAGGGCATTCCCAGCTTACAGGGCTGCTGCATCCTGGGTTCCTGGCACCCTTCCTCCATCTTCAAAGTCAGCAGCAGCGAGTTGAGTTCCCCTCCAGGTGCCATCTCTCTGGTCCTCCGCAGCTTAGAAAGGCTCTCTACCGTTAAGGATGATGTGATTAGATGGGGTACACCTTGACAGTCCAGGATCAGGTCCCTGTCTCAAGGTCCTTAAACCTAATCATATCTGCAAAGTCCCCTTTGCCACATAAGGGGATGTGGGGATTAGCGCCTCTGCATCTTGGGAGCCACTGTTCTGCCTACCACAGTCCATCCTTGGCCCCCAAAGATTTACATTCGTCCTATGTGCAAAATGCATGCACCCCGTTCCAAGACACCCCTGCCCCCGCCCCGCAGAGTCTCATCCCATTATCACATCAACTCAGAGTCCAGAAATTTCATCTGAGTCTCATTGGCTCCAGGCTCTCCCCTCTGAGTCACCCTCCCTTCTTCATGAAAGGTAGCACCTGTTTGTAGCTGAGTTGTTTCATCAGCCTGTTTCCTGCATCTTCTAGAATTTAGAGGTCCAATAGTCTTCTTCCATTTTGGACTGCTCTGTCCCTTCAGGTCCAAGCCGGCAGTGTCTTTTCTGGTAAGAAATCTTCCAGAACTTTGTGAGTCGTGTATATAGGAGGGGTTCACTCAGCTAAACAAGAGGCTCATCCACACATCTTTCGGAGAAATCTCTTCTCCATTTATGCCTTCTGCTGAGGTGGCTGGGGCCGGGGGCGGGTTGGGGGGCGGGCTGGAAGGTGGCTGACACCCTTCCTCTCTTCGAGAGTATTTGTGTGACTAAATATTCACGACTTTTGATCGTTCTCAGGGATTAGCAGAAGGCTATTCAGCCTCAGCCTCAGCTTTTCCTTTCTCTAAGGCACTCTCCCCTGACAGTGAATTCTTTGCATTTCGTATCTTTTGAGCAGGCTGAGAGTTTCCAAAATCCTCAGGTCCTGTTTCCCTTTCATTTAACTGTTCTTCCCTCAACTTACCTCTCTGCTCAAGTTTTACTATGAGCAGCGAGAAGAAACCAGGCTGCACTTCCCACTGCTTGGAAATATCCTCACCGAAACATTCAAGCTCATTGCATACGAGGACTGCTTTCCACACACCCAAGATCACAGCAAGGCTAAGCTTTCTGCCACCATAAAAGAAGAATCCAGGGCTGGCCGAGTGGCTCAGTTGGTTAAGAGCTCGCTCAAGAGTGCAAGCTCTGAGCAACAGGGTTGCAGGTTCGATTCCCAGCCTGAGCTGAGCTGCCGCTGAGCTGCCAACAGGTGGCAGGATAGCTCAGCTTAAAAAAAAAAAAAGAATCCCCTTTCCTCCAATTTCCAACAGTTGAGAAAGGTTCCCTACTGTTAGGATGACATGATTACATGGGACCCACCTTGACAATGGAAGACCAGCTCCCACCTCAAGGTCCTTAAACCTAATCACATCTACAAAGTACCCTTTGCCATATAAGGTCACATGTTCCCAGGTTCCAGGGATTAGAACGTAGACATCTTCAGTGTGTGTGTGTGTGTGTGTGTGTGTGTGTGTGTGTGTGTGTGTGAGAGAGAGAGAGAGAGAGAGAGAGAGAGAGAGAGAGAGAGAGAGGGAGAGAAAGAAAGAAATTATTCTGCTTCCTACACTAGTCAATATTTAGTGAGCACTTACTACATTCTTAGGCACTGTTCTAAGCCTTTACACATATTAACACATTTAGTTTTTCATACAGCCTTGTAAGTAAGGCACTATTACAATCCCTATTTTACAAGTCAGGAAACAGATGCACAGAAAGGTCAGGTAACTTGCCCATGGTCACAAAGCTCTTCAGTGGCTGAGTTGGGCTACAAATGCTCTTAACCAGTATACATCTTAAATGTATTCTATTTAATATATATATATATATATATATATATATATATATATATATAGGTTCAATTTTTATACCTAGGAAAAACTTGGAAGCATCTTTGCCAACATGTAAGAAAGGCTTTCTTTTTTAATGGAATTCTGCTGTTAACATGAAGTATACTTTTCTGTGGGTGTATGTTCATCGGTGCTTTTCTGTTTTGCAAGTTTTTGACAATGCGTATATGAATGAATTGAATAAGAATAAACATTTATTAAACTTGTTAACTGAGAAGAGCAAGGACAGTCACCATCCATCTTCTGTCCTCTTGAATCTACTGTGATGTGACCCTGAAGACTTTTCTGCCACTGACGTCTTAACATCAATGCACCAGCAGAGGGCGCTGCCCACAAGCTAGCTGGGCGTTAAATTGCACCAGGTTCAGGCTCCTGGTCCAGGATTTGTGGCCTCTGGTTGCAGGCTTTGGCCTTTCCTCTGGCTACCAACGTGCTGAAGGACTAGGAAAGACCCAGCACCATCCAGCTGCATCCCCAAATCCACCCAGCACTGCCCCCAAAACACCTACACAAAGCTGCAAAACGATTCTGGTTTTGGCTGGGAAAAGTTTGATCAGGGAGGGAGATTCAGGGCTCATGGAACTCAAGTGAAAATGCCAGAAGTGCGAGGGAAGAATGTGGGTGGGTGTCCATAAAAATTATTTCTGTATCTCGGTGTCCAGGTGGCCCCATTTTGGGACAGTCTCCAATTTTGTCCCTTGGTCCTTGGCTGCAGTGCGGACCCATGATATAAGCCCATCTGAAAAGATTTATAGAAGACTGAAGAAGCCAACACTGTCCAGCCCACCTCAATTCTCACCCACATCCCAGCCCCAGGACACAGAAGCACAGAGAACCCCAGGACCTCTGTCCATGGTTTCCAGCACCCCAAGGCTTTCCTTGACCATGGGACTCAGTGCCCAGTCTTAAGGGTGTTTAATATCAGCCTTGGCTTTCAATGAAGCACACATTGCAACAGTTATTGTTTTACAGATGAAATAATTTTTCTTGATTGCTGGCATTTGAGTCTCTGGATTTGATGTCCAAATTTATGCAAACAAAATGCAACTAAGGTTCACAGTGGGAAATGGAAAAAAGTTCCATCGGAGGAACAAAGGGAACTAACAAGAAAAGGCGTTGGCACATTTCTCTTTCAATTGGAAGTCAAGAAATTGGCCTTTTTTGCTGATAGTAATGGTTTTTCTCTGGGCAACTGAGATGCCCTCCCCTACATACTCCCTCTGTATTCCATGAAGAAGGCAGGAGAATGGTGCACATGCACACACATGGACACACATGTATGATCACACACACACGATCCAACCCCTTTGCTTCATGGATAAGAAAATTAAAACAGATAAAATGACTGGCCCCAGGAAGTCAGACAGACTAGGTTCCTTCCCCAGTTTATCCACAGGGATGAAATTCTAACTAAAGGAACAGGATTCTAGAAGCGTCGAGTGATGTTTTGGGAGTATGGGAAGCGGGCGTACTTAATGGGGAAGCAAAGCTAGGCGTCTGAGGGCAGCGAAAGTACTCACTCCTCTGAGCTTCTGCACGTGTTGATGTTGTCCCTGGCCAGGGACCAGCCACTGCAAGAGGTAGAGAGGATGCAACATGGGAACCTGCACTCAGCTCCAATTCCTGGGACCATTTGCCCCAGGTGGCTATTCTGGTGCCCCATCCCATCTCCCGGGCCTTTCCACACAGCTTGAAGATCAGAGGGTGTTGTTACTTTCAGGGACTAAAATGTTTTGTGACAAGTTTGCTATGGTCAAAGCCTTGGGGAAGAGAGGATGAAAGCTCACTAAACGGAGGCTTTTGAATAAATGGGGACCAACTGTATGTATCCACCGGGCATCTGGCTTAGATTCCGATAGATTTCAGACCACTGACCTGTGTGCCAGGCAGTATGAGGGCACAGGCCTGGACCCGATATAGCATCTGCCCTCTGGGTGCTCTCAGGTGCCTTCCACACAGAATGGACTCGTTAGTAGTGGTGACAGCTTGTTACCCTCATTTACACAGGCCTGGCTCTCAAAGGGGACCATCCTTGAAAATCTACTAACCGCAGCCACTTCCAATTTGCAGGGCAAACGATGACAGAACTGTTCCAGTTTTTAGTCTCTCCTCCCCCACCCCCTGCCTTCACATTCCTCTTAAAGCTCCCAGGCCTTCCACCCCCCCATCTATGTGAGAACCTGGTAGAAGGCAGGGCTGGGTGTGTACCCAGCTGGATGTTTACTGGAAGCTGAATTGCACAGTACTTCATGGTGGATAGGTGTTATTTCCAAGAGGTCGAGTTTTTGACATGGCTGGTGTAAGGAAGCCAGCTGGGCCTCACAGAGCTGGAGGGTGGCTTTCCTGTCCATGGCCAATGCAGACATTCAGTGGAGACCCGGAGACCAGAGCCAGTGGCCAGTGACACTCCAGCCTGACCCGCAGGGCACCTCCTCTACGATGCTGACCATCCGGCCAAATGCCATCTTGGTACTTCTGCTTGCCCTGCCCGTCTCCTCTCCCCACCCTGCTTGTTTGAGGATTGGTTTTGATCATCGGAACATCCCCTGTAGAAGCAAAACTTCCCCGTGGGACCGTGCAGAAGTAGAAGCTCCATGAGTTGCAGTGGCCTGTGTTAACCACATCTTTGCTGGCAATCCCACAGAACTAAGACCCATCGCTGCTTACACTTTGCTTTGCCAACGGGACTTTACCCCAAAAATACAGTCTTCCTCCCCCAGGAAGCCTCCTTGATTGATTGGCTACCATCCTGCACCACCAAATGTATCCACCCACTCTGAACCTTCCCGGAAGTGACCAGGTCTCTGTGGTATAGCTGGGCCTGGACCTGACGGGGTCCTAACTCAACCCTCTGCTCATCTGGTCATTTTGGGAAATGGGCAAAGAGCCTAATGTTTCATTTCTCAGACTGCAGAGAAGATAATTCGATCAATTAAGCCAAGAAGTCTCTGCTTGCCCCCAAAGGAACTGAACCAATCTGGTTGGCTTGCTAGCAAACCTCTTTTTCTCTTTCTTTCCTTCTCTCTCTCCTCCTCCTTCCCCACCTTCTCTTTTTCCTTAGCAGCCACTCCCTCTGCACCATCCCCCCCGCACCCCCACATCTCCCCAGCCTGTCTTTCTGGCTCGGCAACAAATAGCACACAGACCTTGGAGTCAGGAAACCCCTCGCCCTGGGCACCCAGGATGCCCTATACCCAAGCCTTCCATGGTCCCCTTCCCATAGCCCAGGGAGCCCAAGGCTTTGCAGGTCAAGTTCATGTGGAAATGCGAGCCCCAGAATGTCACTCCAGGCGGACTTCGCTTCTCAGTCAGCAATCGTCACACCTTTCCCCAGCAAGAAGACTCAATGTCAGGCTCCTAAAGTATTCCCTGGCAAGAAGTCGCCTTGAACTCTCATATTTTATCTTAAATATGCATGTACATTTTGTAACCTACTGCACATCTATAATAAAAATGCCCCCCCCCACACACACACACAAATATGGAAGTAAAACAGATGCTCCAGCCAGATCCATCAAATGACCTTCACTCCCCAGAGGCCTTCCTGTGCCCAGCCACAAGGCCCACAGCTGAGCGCTTCTGCTCATTTGACACAAACATGCACAGCATTTTCTCTAGAAGTTATGCAGCGACCATCTGTTCTGCAACAACCATACTTATTTTCACCTTTGCATCTTATCAATTTTGGCATTAGAGCTTTTCAAGCCCCTCTTTTCAGAGAGCAGGTTCTGAGCAAGAGTCCACCTGTTTGTGAGGCCAAGAGAAGGTCAGCTTCCCCTGCACAGCTCACCTGTCTTCCCTTCCAACTGCTCCACTGGTCCCTTTGCTGCTCAGTGACCATTGATTCAACTAGTAGTGGCCCGGTAGTCTCCCTGCCAACCACAGGCTGGGGAGACATCTCAAGGACAAGAGAGGAGGGAGGCAGTGGCTGCGTGGGGTGTGGGGTGGGGACGTCAGTCCAGCACCTGCAGATATGTCCACACGCCTGCACCACGTGGCACTGGCCACACACTCCCAGTTGGGCAGTGGGCCATGCAAGGTGCATGGAGCCCTTGTTCTACAGCCCCTTCTCCTATCAAAGAACACACACTCCCCCCCCACACACACACACACAGTTCTAAACCTGATCTGGAACATGGATAATTCCCCTTGAAAATTCTGACCTACCTTTGGACCTTCTTCCCAGAAAAATGCTTGTGTACCTATACATAAAACTGGGTACTATTTCTCCGAAGCTCATGCTATAAAGGCCCCCCTTTTTTTTTTATCAAGGTGGTTCACAGCGCAGTCAGTCTAGGATGAGGGTCCTTTGGTAGACAGAGATGGGTAAGGCAAGCACCCCCATGTGTATCTCTGAGAGCACCAATTCCAGGGGACACTAGCCTAGCTCTAGGTAGGACAGGATCAGGGGTCACATGAAGCTGGGGACTCTGGTTAAAGGGTTTCTCTCCTTCATGGCTTCTTGGACTCAGATGGGGACATTTAGAGCAACCAGTGCTCCCCCCAAGACAGACACCTTCTTCAAGGAGCAGCTCACAGCTGAACAAGCGAGCGATGCTTCCTGCCCGCCTGTCTGCTGCCGGCGGCCCATCCTCCCTTTGGCTCCTTACCTTCTCCCTTCATCTGGCTCCTGGCCACTCACGTTGGACTGGGCATTGCTTTCGCGGCTGGATACCTCCTTGAGCTCAGCTCCGTGGAAATGCTCCAGGAAAGCGTCCGGTCTTTGGTCCTGGGGGTGTAAGTGCCTGACGGCCCACACACGAAGCGACACGATGAGGCGCCACAACCTGCAAGGGCAGAGATGGGCAGCCCATGCACAGAGGGAGGGAAAGGACCGCCCTGGTCTCCTTCTGGGCCCTGGGTTCAGGATGCACTTCACTCTGCTGGGACCTATGGTTCCTCTGTAAAAGACGTTGTCCTCTTTACGGCTTTGTCCTCTCAACACCTCAACTCTACAAAGGCAAGAGCCTTCAAAGGAGCACAAGCAGGCTGGCCGAGTGGCCGGTTGGCTAAGAGCTGGCTTGGGATGCCAGAGGGTCCCGGTTCGGATCCCACATATGAGGGCCAGTGACACTGCCCTCTACAGCTAACATGCTGAACAACAGCTCAACCTGGAGCTGGGCTGCTGTGAGTCGCCGGAGACGGCAGGTGGGTTGCCATGGGCTACCATGTGTAGCCAGCAGCCAGCATGAATGGCCAGCAGCTGCTGTGAGCGGCCGTCCAGAAGCCGGTGACTGATCTGCCTCGCCCGGGAAGAGCGCAATGATGGTGCCAGCATGGGCCAGTGAAGCAACGTCCTCCACAACTAGACTGAAGAACAAAAGGACAGCAACTTGTCTGTTCCCCTTCCCCCAATTCCCCAGCACTGTTCCCATTCCCCAATAAAAAAAAAAATCTTAAAAAAAAAATGAGCACAAGCAAGCTTTCCTGCTCCCCATTCCTTTTGCTCCCTGTGGAGCTTTTTGTCACAACTGGAAAGCATTGGAATGATAAAAAATACAATTTACAAATGGTGAAAATTTTGGAGTAAGGTTTAAAGAAACAAGCCCCCAGATACAAGTTAGAGTCTTCCCCCAACCTTTGTCTTATTAATGATTTCTTATACAAACTCTCATTTTCTCCCCAGGCTTGTGCATCAATTCTGTTGCAGCTTGACCTGACCCTCCTCCGGGAGCCAGACCTCACTGGGGCCTCAGGCCCTGAGACGCACAATCCATGTCCCCAGAGTTGGTCTCAGCTCCAGCTTTCAGCCCTGCCTCCTGCCACCCTCTCTCTGTCAGAGGGGAAGGAGAGGAGAGACTCTGCATCTCGGTATCTGGTTTCCCTAACTTGGCATCTAGAGTACATGCCACTGTCCTCAACAAAATCATTTCTGAGCAGCCCAGAATGAGGTCATGAATTGTCATACACTTTGATCCTAATTGCATACTTGTGACCTTAGCTCAAGGGAATCAATTGAAGCAAGAAAACACCCCAGGAACAGATGCCTACAGCTACTGCTGCGAACCTGCCGAGGTCCAGCCCAACCTGTCTGCTCCAGACAGTCACCCCTTCCAGGTCCTCCATCTGCTGAGGAGGGGGAACCAAGGCCATACCACCCGCTTCAGCCTCAGCCAACAAGTTCAGGGACAGACAGCTGAACTAAGAGCCACTTCAAGATGGGGGTTGGGTATGTCAACTCAAGATCATAAGACGAAGGTCATGTTCAGCCTGTGCCTGCTGACATGTGAGCAGAGAGAGAGAGAGAAACAGGGGAGACATGCAGAAAAAAAGCACCAAGACCTGAAACTCCATGAGAACATGAAAGGGAGAAGGCACTTTCTCCCCAGCTCCCCTCATGAGCCCATTGGCTCCATTTCCAAGAGGTGGTCGGTATCTTACCTTCCACCAGGACCCTGTCCCAGGCCTTTTAACTGGAGTTGGCATAAAGGTGTTCTCTTCCTTGCAATCAATGAGCCTTAAAGCAGCACTTCATTAGTAAGACAAAAACACTGGAAATCACTTAACTGTCCAGTTATAATGGACAAGTGAGATCAACAAGGGTAGCATCCTCCACAATGAAGAATATGAAGAATAAAAAAATGAAATTTTTGCAATAATTCCAAGCAAAAATTGTAGAACACATAACCATGTAAAATAACTATGGCATTGTTTTTCAAAAAAATGATAAAAGGAGACAGTAAGCCCAGGTTTGTGGCCCCTGTCAGGAGTCAGCACTTGGCTGTGATGCAGCCCCCACAGCTCCTGTGGGGCAGGCCTGGTGAAATGCATTTCTAGATGAGACTTGAAGAGGTACATACATGACTTCCTCCAGGTGGTACAGCTACTGAAGCCGGAGTACACACCCCATCAGCCTGATTAATCTCTCAAATGCTTTTACAAGGACGCATGCTATGAGGTTTGCCTGGCTATTTAGAAAATGACACTATCGTCTCCATGCCCTCGTGGTCCATCCAGTGGTCTCCCATGGCTGGCTGGGCTTTTTTCTCTGAACCTTCCCTGGTTGACTTGTTTTCTGAATTCTTCCAACATTAAGCAAGTTCCTCAATATCACTTTGTACTAAAGCAATTCCAGATAAGAGCAGCGTTTCTTAGACTTTTCTGAGCTCAGAGCCCTTCACCCCAAAGGAAATTATTCACGGATGGATTTCTGACTTCTCTGTTCCTGCCTCTTCCCTCTCCAAATCCTCAACCCTACCCCACCCACCACTTCTTCCTGAGACGTATCTGCTTTCTTTCTGCCTCAGTTTCCCCCTTCCCAAGTGAGGGCTGAGACCGATTGGTTACCTGGCAGACCCCTGGCCGGTGAGGGAGCTTTGCCGGGATTCAGCCTGTCCTCTGGTCTCCATGGCAATCGCTTGCTGCAGTTCTGACGGTGTCTCCTCGCCCGGTGAGTAGGTCCTAGGAAATCAGATATGCGGCAGGCTAAATTGATTTCAAGCTCATCCACCTCCTGGACACACTCAGGAATGAGATGGCCAGATGTCTTGCTTAATGAGGACAGCTGCCGTCGCGGGTCCTCAACCCAAAGGCTCCCCACTTCAGGTCATGCTGCCGCAGATCTTGGCTCTCAGGGTCAACGCGGCCTTTCCTTTATAGCAAGCCTGACCCAGCTGCTGCCGTGAGCTCGATGAGAGGAGGTGAGCCAGAGGCAAATGGTCCTCATCAGGGCAGTGGGAAGGGGAATTCCCCGGGCCACCACCTCCAGTCAGAGCAGCTGTTTCCACGCTGTGATTCCAGAGCAAAGGTTTTGGTTCGAACTCATCTCTGCGTACTTCTAAAGAAAGCTTATGTTCTAAAGTCAGATAAAGTGCCACCTCCTTCAAGAGGCCTTCCCTAGCCTCCTCTTCCACATTTGTACAGTGCTTTTCAAATGAAAACCAACACCCACTATGTCCTCTTTGCCAAGCCCTAACCACCACCCCCTGTAATGCAGAGGTGACTGGGGCAGTGAGCTCACCTGTGCAATTCAGGGGAGAAGCATGGGCACTCCCAGACCAGGTACTCACAATTTAATATGAGCACTAGTCACATCAGCAGAGCCTGCTGTTTATGGAATTGCCCGGAATAAGACCAATGTGTCTGGGAACATGTCCCTTTCTTTCTCTTTCTTTTAAAAACTCCTAGGGCTAAAGTTTGAAAAGGTTGATTAAAAGCTATCCAGGCATTGGCCTCTAGGGATCTGCCCTTCATTCCACAAGTCTTGAAGAGCCCAGGCAACAAAAATTCTTTCTATCACATGACCTATTCCAACCTCATCAGCCTATTTTTTTAATTGATATTTTATTATTATTTTTTAACTGTTTTTTTTAAGATTTTATTGGGGAATTAGGGAAGGGAAGCAGCCAAGTTTTGTCCTTCAATCTTAGTTGCGGAAGGTACCGCTAGCTCAGCTCCAAGTCCAGTCGCCATCTGGCTTCCCGTCAGCAGCTCGAGGCCGCTCAGCTGAAGGTGCCGTGGTCAATCTTAGTGCGGGTGGGCATAGCCCGCCATCCCATGCGGGAGTCTAACCAGCAACCTTTTTGCTAAGAGCGCACGCTCTAACCATTGAGCCATGCAGCTGCCCTGCCTTCTTAACAAGGTGGTTACACGGCAGAAGAAGGAGGCAAGAATTGATGTCAGGGAAAAGGCTCTATTTCTCCCCAGCGAGTGATGGACTCAGGACTCAGAGGCCTGTACCCCAGCCTCCTCCTCTTCCCTAGAAGCAGCAGGAAGCTCAGTGCCATGCCATGGCCCATCCAGGCCGTCTTTGCACTAGCAGGTTCTTCCCTCCCTCAGCTTCCCCACATCAAGGCTACTTTCTTCTGCTGGAACCATGTGGAATCAGACAACGCCATCTTCTCCATGGCCGCCTTCTATGATGGGACAACTCTCACACCTGTGCTAGAACCCTCAGCTCACCCATCCGTTCCTCATCAGGTTCAAGTCTCTTTCCCATCACGGTCATTCTAGGAACAGGTTCCTGGGTTCTTGCCTGCCTGGACAAGGAGGCTGAGGCCATCCTGCTATTATTGGAGCCCAAGCCAGAGGTCTTTGTAGGTTTGTGGGTTCATGTTATGTGATGCCCTTATCGCCAACTACCATCAGCCAAAACCCTATACAATGGGCTGTTGCTAAGCCAGACGGCCCGATCCTATGCATACGAGGTCTGACAATGAGCTTCGCGAACTCACCCTAGGAAAAGTGCTACATAGCTCATTGCTGATTATCAGCACAGTCACCTTCAAAGTACTCCCCTTGGGAAGCTATGCACCAACACCAGCACCTAGTCCACACTTCAAAGCAATTTTGGAACTCTTTTTCTGGAATGGCCATCAGAGCTGTCGTCTCATATTACCCTTGATGTCATGAATGTCATCAAAATGTCTTCCTTTCAATATTTCTTTCATCTTCAGGTAAAGAAAGAAGTCATTGGGGGCCAGATAAGGTGAGTAGGGAGGGTGTTCCAATACAGTTATTTGTTTACTGGCTAAAACTCCCTCACAGACAGTGCCGTGTGAGCTGGTGCATTGTCGTGATGCAAAAGCCATGAATTGTTGGCGAAAAGTTCAGGTCGTCTAACTTTTTCATGCAGCTTTTTCAGCATTTCTAAATAGTAAACTTGATTAACTGTTTATCCAGTTGGTACAAATTCATAATGAATAATCCCTCTGATACCAAAAAGGTTAGCAACATCATAGTAACAAGTTCATGATCTTAATTGTCAGACCTCTTATACACTGTATTTGTTGCAAGTTAAGTACTGGACCTTCCCATTTGTCTGAGTCACTTGATGTTTTGGGACCCTCAGTGGCGTCATACTATACTTTCCTCCCAACTCCATCTCATTCACAAATGCCATACAAAAGTCATATGCTCTTTATTGATTGCTACTGTATTTCAACAACATATATCTTATCATTTAATCCATGTAAAAATCCTATAAGACAGGAAACTAAGGTTCTAAGATGTTAAGTAACTTCTCCCAAGGGCACACAGCCAAGTGGCAAAGCTGAGATTTGAATGTCATTCCATCCCATTTCAAAGCCTGCTCTCATCCACTCCATGAAGCTGTCCTCTGTATTTTCATATATGGCACCGCTTAAAGCAAAAGTTGAAGAGGACATGGCTGAGAACTGAGCCCTGAGGTATGCCACTAGAGACATGGCTCTGATCCTCCTGACTGCACTATGTAGGCACAGCTCTTTATTTCTAAACCACTTAATTGAATTCTCCCTCTATACCTGGATGTATAAGGATACTTCTCATCCTTATACATGTAAGAGACGCTCTCAAGCCCTGCTGCAGTTAGAAAGCTACAATTCCCTCACCCTCGTAATCTGTATTCTACAAAGGTGACATGTTATAAGAGGAGGAGGCAGGGGAACAAGTGAGTCCATCTCTCCAGCCCATGGATCCTAGCAGCTGACACACAGTTGTGGCGAGGAGCAGCCCCTGACAACAAAACTGGAGCTCAGTCATGGCATGTGAACCCAGATCAGGAAGCAATTCCAAGAATGGAGGTGTTTTGTCCCCACCAGCAGCTCCTCAGGGAGCTCTAGGCACCAAGCTGTCAGCCCAGCCTTCTCTGCCTAGTCTGGTTTCTGTTTATTGCATGGGGACACATCCTGAGACCAGATTTAGTTGCACTAGCAAAGGAGTCGGTGCCTGACGTCAGAGCTTGTGGGCCGGTGAGCAGGGCACCCACCCCGATTTCAAAGCAGGCCTGCTGCTGGCAGCAGTGAGAGGTACCACACAGGGAATGCATCCGTGACACCCACTCGAAGGGGAGGCGGCAGCATGCGAGGTCTGGGTAGAATCCCTACCCCAGCACCTATTCGCCAGGTGTTCTGTGGGTTGATCACTCACCCTCCCTAAGTTTGTTTCCTGGTCTTCAGAGAAGCGAGAAAAGAAAAATTTGTGGTTTCATGTTGACTTAAGGATTGTTCACACACTCAAGTCCAGAAGGGCACATTTAGCCGTGAAGAATGGGAGTTGCCTTATATGATTAGATTCAAGGGGCCCGACGGGGCCCCTCTTCCCAGTGTACCTCTCCACTTGGTTTTTGATGCTTTAATTTCTACCATGGTGTCTTTTCTTCTAGTCCAGAACCTCTACATTGTTAAATGCCTTGGGTATTTAAATACTAGACCCAATTATTTACTCCTCAGAGGAACTGGTTCTACCACTCAGATGGAAGGGGAGAGGACAGGAAACAAATGTCTTAGGTGATATTTTGAGTCCCCAAGGACACACAGGTACTAAGGGAGAAACTTTTGGTGGTCAATGCAAGAATGGGATCTAGAACCTCCCAGGGAAACACGGAGGCAGGAGAGACTGGGGGTTGGGCCGTGTCACGCCTGGACCTGGCTGAGGAGCCTGGGGCAAGGACTCTACAGGACCTGTCTCTGCAAAATGAGCAGATCAGGCCAGGACAGCCCTGAAGCCACCCTCCCACTCACAGACCTCCTACCACCATCTCGGTGATGATGGTGCCTTTGCAGGAAGAAGCCCCATGAACTTGGTAATTAGTAAGAACAAGGTTAACAAGTGCAGCACAAGGACATGAGTGTTTTGGAAGACAAGGTACTTTTAACCGTGTAATGCTTATTTTCTACGTTTATTTATAAAGAGGAATTAATGTCCATGAAGTCAAAGTTCCCTCTGTCATCAGGAAAGGACAGGTCTCATCAGAACTGGTACTGGCAATTACCTTTGCCCTCTGCAGAGCATCTGCTGTTTTCCTCTGGTGACTCTGGGGGCATGAGAATAAACAGAAGTAACCTCTTAGAACCAGAGTGGAGAATACCATGCTTCGTTTTTCTTTTCCTCCTCCCAAGTCCTCGGGAGCTGCATTGATCGGCACGCACTGCCATTGGCCACATGTGACCAGGGAACTGAAGTCAGTGCAGCCCTGCCTTCCATCCTCGGAAGTAGCTGAAAATTATTCCTTTTGGTGAAAACTGCTTTGGGCTCTGCTCAGGGAGCAGCACGGAGAAGGTATCCCTTCTGTAGGTGACAAAGCCTTGTGGCAAAAAACTACCTAATCGCTGTACCAGGAGACGGGGCTGGAGCTTGGGGTGCCTTTGGTCCTCGCTGCAGTTCTCTATGGCACATTCTGAAGTTTCTCCCTATTGCAGTGTCTTCAAAACTATGCCAGATGGCCCTTCAGTAATCGAGGTTTCTAACTAGAAAAAGAAAAAATCAAGATTTTTTTATTCCTGGTGTTTTCAGGGCATAAACTTAATTTTTTTGTTTAAATGAAATGTTTTAATTCTTCCTTATGACTTTTCACTAGAAAAATGACCCCAATAATTTAAAAAGAGAAACAGAAACATGGGCCTTCACTTTGGTGAACGACCTGAGGGCAGGGCTGTCTCAGGGGACCGGGACATGGTGTCCCCTTCCTCCTGGGGGCACTCAGCAAAGGGCCACCCTGGCACACAGGTTCCCAGCACAGTTTGTTGACATCACTAAGGATAAAGAGTGATTAATATTTAAGGACATACACTCAAAATTATTCTTCTTAAAAGCTTTCTACGAGGGTTTGAATTTCAAGACAAAGTTGTCTGGTTTGTTCAAACACCATGTCCTCCCCCAAAATAGTGATTTGAAACTTTAAAATGTTTTTGTGTATGTGTCAGAGCCCCTTGTGCAGATAAATCTAACAGGGAAAACTAGTCTGTGACTAGACAGATGCTGGGCTGTGCTAAGAATCGGGAGAGAGACCTGGACCCTCCTGCTCCAACCCCAGCCTCAATCCTTGGTGACACCAAGGAACCCACCCCTGCCTCCATGAGATAAAGCATATCTCTCTCATGAAAAACAGCACTCTTTCTCTCTCTCTTTCTCCTTTTGAAATCTATGCAGAGTTTCCATGGGATTCTGTATTGATCTGTCAACAAGTTTTTCCCATGTGAGAGGTTAGGCAAGGCCCCAAGTGGGGCTCAGTGCAACTTGGCTGCTGGCTGAGAATGCATGACTGGACACAGGCAGGAGAAGGCCAGTTCCAGATGCCAGAACAGCTGGGGCTCTCTGAGGCCAGAGACGGAGAAAGCTTCCAGCCTGAGACACCAGAGAAGGCCCCCAGGACAGGGACTCATTTCCAAGACTGACAGTCAGTGTTGATGGAGCACTTAAGTTCAGGCAGGAACTGACCTTGAGTTTTACCTTTTTGAACCCCACTACAGCCCGCTGAGGTCAGTACTACTACATTGTACAGATGAGGAAACTTAGGCTTGGAGTAATTGAGCATCTTTTCAGAGTTGCTCAGCTATGGAATCACTGTTCAAGTCAGCAGTTTGACCCTAAACCTGTGTTGTTGGCTATCATGCTGCTCAGGGGATAGGGGCAGGGGGAAGATGAGAGGGCTTTTTCTCACCCAAGAAGATGGTAAATAGCATTGTTGAAGGGCATTGATTCAGAGCTCTGACCGTGTGGCTGACCGACCCCCTGAGAGTGCATAAATGCACCCAGAGTGAGCCCGCTGTGAGTCTCTTGGAGGCCAGAGGCCCCTCACTAGATGTCAGTGCGGCTTAATGAGCTAGCAATTCATTCGCAAAGGCTCATCTCTCCGGGAGACCTGATGAGCCCTCTTGGACAGTCTACAACTCAGGCTTGTAGGCCACTGGCCAAGTAAGAGCCAGGACAAAGCAGGCAGAGCTGGACCACTGTGGTGTCCAGTCAAGCAGGCATTTGGGGCAGGAGCCCTAGCCTACCTGGGCCTACCGTCTCTTGAGTATGTCACAGGAAGGAGCCAGACTGAGCCCCAGCTGTTGCCTTCTCAGCGCTAGGGAGTCTGCAAGTTCTGTGAAATACTCTGCTTATGCCCCACTTAAGGTGAAAAGGAGCAATGCGGGAAATGTTCCATGTGCTTCAAATTCTCCCTGATCCTCACAGTCTCTGTCCTTATCCCATTGGGCCCAAGATCGCAGGAGCCCAGTGCTGACCAGGGAGCCTGACTTTACTGCTGGGCCCCAGCCTTGGGCCTTTTCTCTTTCCCCCAACCTCTTGGAAGCCCCCCTTCAAGAAATTTTATGAGCTCAGATGTGGGAAGGAAATTATTAATGCATACCAAAGTTTTAATGTCAGGTAACTGTCCTAATAATTTTCTTTTCTTTCAAATAAGGAGCAATGCTTTAACCCTAAGGAATAAGTCTCTAGTGGTGGGACACAGGTATTGACAAGTATAAGATGGAGCGATTTGAAGAGGGTGGGATTTCTGATGTCCCTGAGTCATATCAAATTTCCTGGGGCTCCAACATCCCATTAAAATTGTTGGAGGGAATAAATCTCTGTTGGGATGTTTTGAGATTTTCCTCTCTTTGCCTGAACCTCAAAAGTCGGACCCAAGAGTTTCATAACTTTTCAACAACAGGGGCTCAATCTCTCAGGAAATTGTTGTCCATCTCTTATTAGCAGAGTTTGCTAAGGAGCTGGACCAAGAATTCAGACAGAAAAGAAACAAATGTTCATCTGAGGGAGAAAGTGACATACATGAATGCGTGAGGAGAAACGATGGATGTGGGCCTAGTGCCAGGGTTTGAGGGACTGTCATTGCATTTTTTTTTTGCCATCAGATAATATGCAGTTATCATGGGAGGGACACATTTTCAGTGTTATATCTGTAGGATAAAAATAATATAAACAATGGAAATAAAGTTTTTCACAGTTCCACTCAATCAACTCATTGGGAATTTCAGAAACATAAAAATGTAAGTCCACTTGCATCAAACAGGTACTCTCCCGTTTCCTCACTAGGATACCAGGCTCTTGGAAAAGAATGATGATCCATTTCGTGGCTGAAGAAGCTGAGACATTAAGAGGGTAAGTGAATTTTCCCAAATATACCAGTAAATTAGGAACAGGGCTAGAAGTAGAACTCAAGACCCTAGATTTTCCTACAGCTGCCTTGTGTTGGGATGTCACTGATGGCTAATGGCTTCGCTGGCAAGGCATGGCCCCCCTCCCTACAGACCCATGAGCACAGCATCAATCCTGACCTGTCCCTGGAAGTGAGGGCAGGGCCTCTGACTTGTATAATGTCCCCAGCGCCCAGGACAATGGCTGGGGGACAGACAGCATCCCGTACATGTTTCATGTAGCCATGGGAAAGTGTGGCAGTTTGGAGAAGTTTCTTCAGTAAAACTTAAGAACCTAAATGTTATGTAACTTTTTGGGCCTCATTTCCCCACATGTCTAAAATAAGAATAAAGGTTACGTCAGTGTGGGTCGTGAGGATTTGGTGAGATGAAAAATGAAGTTAGAAGGAGCACTGTGAGTAGCCCCCGCCCTCCAACCTGTGGTTGGCCACAGGCGAAGGCATTCTTTTCCCCACAGTCTAGATCAACTACAGGAATAACCTTTTCCAGGCATAAAATTAAAAAGCCCACCTTACCTGCTGAGGCCATTTTCAATGTGACTGAGATCTCTGTCCGTGGTTCTTACCGCAGGGCAGGTCGGGCTGGGATGGGAGTATTGGGTGTTAATCTTGGCCATCTTGCTTTGTCACATTCAGCCCCAAGGTGCTGAAACATGAACACGGGGCAGATATCATCAGGACAGAGCAGATATCATCAGGACAGGAAGTAACTGCAGACCCAGCTCATCATTGTATGTGTGGGCTACTCCTCCAGGCAAGTCTTCCCCGCTTTCTCTCACAGTTCCTGCCATACTGTTTCAGTTGGGTGCCTCTGGGCTCTGCTTGCCCGCCTGAGGCATAACCAAGGTCTTTTACGCCTTTGTACCTGCTGCCACACCAAGAGCTGCTGAAAGTTAAGTGCTGACCCAGTGAATGAATGAATGAATGAATGGCCAAGTTCGTCTCTGATGTAAGAAAGCTGATTCTCATGATTCTCTGGGGTGATGCTATGTCCTTCTTGACTCTGGTTTTCTCATTTACTTATTTTTACCTTATAATTTTGCTCATCTTTTGGTAGCTCCCACAAATCCTGCTGTAAACAAAGCATAAAAACACTAACAATACTTGACATTCACAAAACCTTTGTAATGCAACGTTAAACCCAATACAGTTTATCACATTTAATCCTCACAATAACCTCTTTAAATATCTATCCCCATTTAAAGATGACTAAATCGAGACTCAGAGATTTGTTTGAACAGCTTGTTCAAGCAAAGATATAGATAAAATCTGTTGATGGCACGATCCTGGTGCTAGAAATCAGACAACAAATACTCTCCCATCAGCAAACATTGGAAGGTACCCCTATGGTGGATGAGAAAAGAAAGCTAATGTGAGCACAGGACTGCAGTGAAGAACATAAAGTTCCATGATTTTTTTATCAAAACCTTCCAGGCGAATGATGAGTTCCTGAAGACAGTTTCTTTGAAACAAATGAGCACTGGCTTTCTTCAGCAGCCACATGGCTTAAGTGTGTCAGGTGTCAGTAGAGACCACTCCAGAAGAAGGTGGTGTTTTCTAGAAAAAGCCCTGTGACTCACTTCAGGACTAAATTAATTCCATACCCAATGGAAGGTCAGTGCAAGGAATCCGGAGCACTGCACCAAATCAGCCAACATGAGTGTGGTCCTGGGTCATCATAGTCAAGTCCCCATGAGTTATTCAGGGGCATCTGTTCGCTCACATGGTCCTGGTTCATCTCTGATGTCTGATAGTTTAAGTCTATGGTGTTAAATTGTATAATTTTTCTCAATGGTTTGATTTTTAAATACTTTATTCATTTATATAACAGTTAGTGACATTCTGGCTGATTAGGGAAGATAAAAAGAAATACAAGACAAAGACTATTCTCAAGGATCTTATAATCTAGTGAGGCAAATGATGGCTCCCAGAGGGTCATGTAGGTTGTGTCAAGGAGCTTAGAAGTCCCCCTGAGCCCTGTAGTTATGTGGTCATATACATAAAGGTCACTCAGGCTGCACTGGGGAGAACATATTCAGGAGACATGAGTGGGTGTGAGATAAGCAGTTAAATGCTGCAGTATCTCAGGGGAGAGAGAATAGTCACCTGAACTAGGTTTGTTGTAATGAATCAGACAAAGTAAAAAACTACCAAGTGGATAGAATCTCTGGGACATGGTAATGGATCAGGTACAAAATGTGAGGAGCAGGCACAGTATTTATTTAACATTATTCAACACTTGCCATATGTTAGCCATTTGCTGTGTATCTTTCAGAATCTGACTGTGACTTTTGTGCTCCAGTGCAATCTTTAACTTTTTCCATCATTCTTGGTCAGGAATCTAACAGAGTTCACCAGCATTCCAGGTAGTCTTGTAGTTTTCTCATTCCTTTATTAACTCCAAAAGGCTTGAAGGAAATAACTATTTCCTTTTACTTAAAAAAATGTTTTTCCCTCCAAACATCCAGCATATACACAAGGTAGGTAATAAAAAGTCAGTAGCATAAATGGAGAAACAATAGATGACTAATTTTAATGATGATACTGATAATAATAACAGTGTATTTACCGAGCACTTACTCTTTGCCTGGTACTGTTCAGATAACTGTAAATGTGTATTAACTCATTTGACCCTCACAACGCTTCTGTGAATGAGTCACACTGAACATTTCTGTACTACTGAAAAATAATTGGGATTTTATGAAGGAGACAGCAAGTAAGCAACAAAGAAGGTCAAAACATGTAAAGCCCTTTCTTCTAAACCAGATTGGAAAGAAGTAAAACTCTCACTGTTTGCAGATGACATGATCTGGGATATAGAAACCCTAAGGTATCCATTAAAAAAATGATTTAACTAATAAATGAGTTTAGTAGTGTGGCAATATATAAGAAGAGCATACAAAAATCAATTGTATTTCTATACATTAGCAATGAATAATGAGAAAATGAAATTAAGAAAATAATCCCCATAAGAAAAGATGAAATAGTGCCATTTGCAACAACATGGATGGATCTAGAGATTATTATGCTAAGCGAAATAAATCAGACAGAAAAAGTGGAGAACCATATGATTTCACTGATATATGGGATATAAAACTGAAAACAACAAAGGAACAAGACAAACAAATGAAGAAACAAAAACTCATAGACATAGACAATAGTTCAGTGGTTACCAGAGGGTAAGGAGGGAGTGGGGTAGTAGCTGAAGATAAAAGGGATCAAACATATGTTGATGGAAGGAAAACTGACTCTGGGCGGTGAACATACAATGTGATATATAGATGATGTGTTACAGAATGGTACACCTGAAACCTTTGTAACTCTACTAACCATTGTCACCCCAATAATCTTTAGTTAAAATATATATATGTAATTTTTAATAGCAGTAAAAGAATAAAATATCTAGAAATAAAATTAACCAAGGAAAGGAAAGATTCGTACACTGAAAACTATAAAACATTGTTGAAAGAAATTTTAAAACATATAAATAAATAGAAAGATCCCCTGCTCATAGATTGGAAGAATATTGTTAAGATGGTGTACTCCTCAAATTGATCTGCAGATTCAATGTGATCCTTATCAAAAATGCTGCCCGAATTTTTGCAGAAATTGACTAGCTAATCCTAAATTTACATGGAAATTCAAGAGACCCAGAATAGGTCAAACAACATTGAAATCTTGAAAAAGAAGAACAAAATTAGAGGACTCATACTTTCTGATTTCAATACTGATTACAAAGCTATAGTAATCAAGACAGTTTGGTACTGGAATAAGGATACATATATAGATCAATGGAATAGAACTCAGAGTGCAGAAATAAACACTCATATTTACAATTGATTGATTTTGACAAAGGTCACAAGATAATTCAATGGGAGAAAGAATAGTCTTTTCAACAAATGTTGCTGGGACAACTGGATATCCACAGGCAAAAGAATACACACCATACACAACAATTAACTAAAAAATGCATCATAGACTTAAATTTAAGGGATAAAACTATAAAATTCCTAGAGGAAATTACAGGAGTAAATCTTCATGATCTTGGGTTAGGTAATAGTTTCTTAAATATGATACCAAAAGCATAAGTGACAAAAAGAAAAATAGATTGAATGTCATCAAAATTAAAAATAAAAAACCTTTGTGCATCAAATGACACCATCAGAAAAGGGAAAAGGCAGCCCACAGAATGGGAGAAAATATTTTAAAAACATATATTGGTAAAGGGCTTATATCCAGAATATATAAAGAACACCTGCAACTCAATAATAAAAAGACAACCCAATTAAATAATGGGCGAAGGATTCGAATGGATTTTTTTCTGTAGAAGGTATATAAATGGTCAACAATCATGTATACAGATACTTAACATATTTAGTCATGGGGAAATGCAAATCAAAATCATGATGAGATATCGACTATACCGACTACAATGGCCTATAATAAAAAAAAAAAAGACAGGGTCAGCCGAGTGGCGCGTTGGTTATGAGCTGGCTTGGGACACCAGAGGGACCTGGTTCGGATCCCACATATGAGGGCCAGTGACACTGCCCTCTACAGCTAACATGCTGGACAACAGCTCAACCTGGAGCTGAGCTGCCGTGAGTCGCCGCTGACGGCGTAGGCTGCAGCCATTGCTGCAGTGGGTTGCCATGGGCTACCGTGTGTAGCCAGCAGCCAGCGTGAATGGCCAGCAGCCGCTGTGAACAGCCGTCCAGAAGCCAGCGACTGATCTGCCTGTCCCTGGAAGAGCGCAATGATGGTGCCAACTTGGGCCAGTGAAGCAACGTCCTCCACAACTAGACTGAAGAACAAAAGGACAGCAACTTGTCTGTTCCCCTCCTCCAATTCCCCAATAAAAATCTTTAAAAAAAAAAAAGACAATAACAAAAGATGGTAGGATGTGGAGAAACTGGGACCCTCATGTACAACTGGTGGGAATGTAAATTGTACAGCCACTTTGGAAAACAGTTGGGCAGTTCCTTAAAATGCTAATTGTCGAGTTACCACACGACACAGAAATTCCACTCTTAAGTATATGCCGAAGAGAAATGAAAACATACGTCTATACAACAACTTGTACATAAATGCTCATAGCAGCATTATTCATAATAACCAAAAAGTAAGAACAACCTAAATGTCCATAAATTGATAATTGGATAAACATAATGTGGTATATCTACATAGTGGAATGTTATTCAGATGAAATGTTGCTTGACAATGAAAAAGAATAAAAGATGAATGAACTTGCAAACATGCTAAACGGAAAAAGCCAGACACAAAAGGCCTCATATTGTATGATGCCATTTATATGAAATGTCCAGAATAGGCAAACCCATAGAGAAAGAAAGTAGAGTAATGATTGCTGGGGGTGAGAGTGGACGGGGGGAGCCAGAAAAGAGAGTGACAGCTAATGGCTACAGGGTTTCTTTTGGGGGCGTTGAAAAATCTTAAAATTATATTGTGGTGATGGTTGCACTACTTGGAATATACTAAAAATCACTGAAACATGTACTTTAAATGGATAACTTATGGCATATCGAAAAAAAGTAATGTTTAATCTAAAATCAAAACACTTTTAAAATTCAAAACTCACACTATCTCCTATAAGGAACTC